AGCTCATCGATGGCTGGGTCAGCATCGGCGTCATCGCCGAGGTCTTCAACCCCCAGGACTCCTATGAGCACAGCCGCCTGGGCCGCAACACGTGGTCCTGCTGCCTGCAGTGGAACGGGCAGAACTACGCCGCCTGGTTCGGTGGCTTAGAGTCTGTCATCCAGCAGCCGTTTTTCCACACCATCGGGGTCTTTTTGGAGTATTCGGAGAAGGCTTTGACCTTCTATGGAGTCAAGGACTCCAAGATGACGTGCCTGAAGCAGCTCAAGGCCGGCTCCTTTGGAAAAGCCCAGTCGGACCCTTTCCAGCACAAGATCAACCAGCAGTTTGCAGCTCTGTTCTCCTTCAAGCTGAAACCCGCCTTCTTCCTGGAGAGCGTCGATGCCCACCTGCAGATCGGGCCGCTGAAGAAGGATTGTGTTTCGGTGCTGAAGCGCAGGTAACTGCCCGAGGAGAAGGCCCAGAGGAGCCCTCCATGCAGCACGCATCATGGCTTCCCTCCGTACATCAGGGCAGCCCCACTTGGCGAAGCGCTTTCCAGAACTGCAGCATGGAATCATCTGGGTTGGAAGAAGCCTTCAAGACCGCCGGGCATCATCCTGACTGACTGTCAGCTGGAGTCCCACTGCCAACCCACGTCCCAACACTGACCCACATCCAAAGCCTCTCGATGCCCATCAATGCCACAAACAAGAAGTGAGGATCTCTGCATCCCTCGTGTTTGGCGCACCATGGAAAAGCCGTGGTCCTTCCTACGTGTGCTGGAGCTCTGGGCTGTTCTGCATCCAAATGTCTCTGCTGGGAGAAGGAAGGGACTTGCTGGGAAACACCAGCATTGCTTGGAGCACAGAGCAGTTCTGGATGTGCTTATGGTAGACACGTTCTATGGGAATTGCTGACGGAAGCCTTTTTGTCAAATTTCCCCTCATGTTTTTGATGACCCTGCTATTTCAGGAGATTTTAATACCGATAAACTCCCAGCTCTTCAGGCACCCCGGGCACATCTGAGCTGTAAATGCAACCCATAGCTTAGAGAGCCTTTCAAACAACCAAGAGCTGCTATGAGTACAGCCCGGGGTAAACGTTGTTTCTTAGGCACATTGATGAAAGCTAATGATTAAATCCCTTTAGACTCCAGGAACAAGTAACAATTAACAACTGCTCTCCAGCCACCGTCCCATCTGGGAGAGGTGGAGGCTTCAGGCACAGTGCCCATTCATGTGTCCTACAGGAGCTTTTCCAGCACTGCCCCAATGATGTTGCAGAGGCGGCACAGTGCAGCTCCTGTCTCAGCCCTCCCTGCCTTCCTCTGAGTTTATTTTTCCTGGGGTTAGTTTGCTACCTACCTCCCGAAGCTCACTTTACAGAATTGTAATGCTGGGTAATAAAAATATATGGGGCCGGATTCTTTGCCGGCGTGAATGAGTCAGTGATGACGCACCAACGGTCAACAGGGGTGGAAAAACGGTCCGTTAAGCTAAATATACAAAATATATATATACGTATTCCCCAAAGGATAAGCTGGAAGTCATAGTGATATATTCAAAGGGAGCCAAGGGAAAAAAAAAAAAAAAACGAATGTGAAAAACAGGCAGGCATAAAGCCAGGAGGTTTAGAGTTTAGCCACGTTTACATAAACACCACGGCTCCAATGGCTCCTGTTGCTGGTGAGTGGGTGTTCTTTGCACACAGAGCTGCCGGTCCCCAGCAAACAGCCACTGCTTTCAGCCCTCAAATGGGGCCGAACGTTCTGAATGCAGCAATCCAGCCGCAGGACAGGGCAGGAATGTTAGCATGGCACTGGGATGTGCCTGAAACCGCTCCTACTCCTCCTCTGCTCCTCCTGAACCACTGGGAAAGGGTGTAGGGCTTCCAGTGCTGCATCTCTGGATGGAAACACCATGGCCTTCAGGAATGCTGCCCAGATGGAATTCACTCCCTGTGTCCTGAGCTCCTACCTGAGCTCCTACCTCGGAAATGCTGTGATTCACTCGGCCAGCCTCCTGCAAAATGCCCCCACGAGGCAGCAGCGGTGACACTGCGAGCATTGGGGCTGCTTGGTTACAGCGGGGTCAGCAGTGCCTTGCTGGATTAGAAGTCTGGAGACGTGCAGCAGCAATGTGCTGGGAGGAAGAGGAAGGTAACCCTGATCTGCACTGCACGTCTGTGGGAAGAGATCTGGCACGTGGGCTGTGTCCGAGCCCCAGATGTCATTTATTCAGGCGAAAGCCCTACCTTTTGCTGCAGGGAGTTTTGCCAGAGTAAATAGAGTGGATCTGGTCCTTTGCCCCGTTTCATTTGGCTGTGGGTGGATGGATGGCTCCGGGGGGAACGGTGCGCTCCAGCCATGATCCCTCCCTTCCCTGTGTTGCCCAAACCAAAGCTGTGAGATTCCTCTCCTTGCAGCTTTCAGCTGGTTCCTTGGAATCCGGTGCTTTTCCTTTTCCATCCCTGCAGCCCCAGGGGAGCGGCACTGGGAGCCTGGGCTCTGCTTCTGCTGCTTCCCACAGCGAGGGCATCGCTCCATTGCTCCTGCCCTACAGCTGGGTGCTGGCGTGCAGCTCACAGAGGGGTTTGGAGGGCTCCTATAATGTGTTACAAAGCCTCTCATTCCTGCTGCTTCACATCCAGGCTGGAAGTGCTAGAAATCCTGGTGGTTTAGGGCATAAAGCAAACTCTGACTGACGTAAGACAGGGGTTCCCACCCCCTGGTGTTGGATCAGAGTTTGCTCTGTGTTGCCAATAATTTGGGGTGTACTGGAATGATTAGGAAACGTACGTTATGCCAGCCCTGGATCTCTGATTTTTTTGCTGTGAGCACTGTGCGTGGTGAGTTTAGATAGGCAGCACTTTGCAATTTCAATGGCCTTTCCGTGCTCCTTCGAGTTATTTTTTTGCTGTCACAGAGTGTTCCTCTTTTTAATTAGATTTTTTTAAATATACAGTTACTGAGAATCTCTTACAGTGTGTGAAGAAGTGTTCAAGGCCAGGTTGGATGGGGCCCTGGGCAGCCTGGTTTGATATTAAACAGGGAGGTTGGTGACCCTGCGTGTGGCAGGGGGTTGGAGATTCGTGATCCTTGAGGTCCCTTTCAACTCGTGCCATTTTGTGATTCTGTGATAGAGACTCTGATTTGCCATTAAATGTTAACACAAACATAGCTGTGGGTTGTCATTCCTTTAAATACCAAACCACTGCCGTTGTCCCGTTATCCTTTGCTTGTTTTTTTTTTCTGTGTCTGTGCATCCGGCAAAAAATAACAGAGGTTTTATTTTCCAAGTGTGTCTGCAGGGTTTGTGCCAAGCACACATTTTTTCTGTCGCTCGACTACAAAAGAAGCGGAAGAATCCTGGAATCCAACAGCAATATTGACAGTGCTGGGCAGTTCCACACAATGAATTGTCTCAGCTCTCTCTGTCTCTCTTCTACTTCTGTCCTTGACTTTGAAAGAGCAAAGTTGAACAGATGAGACGTTTTTTCCCTTTGCATTTTAATCTGTGTACATTTCCTCGAAACAGGGAGTTCTGGAGCTTCCCATGCACGCCAGCACTTCTTAACGTGGAGACAGAGCTTCTTAATACCAGATGTCAGCTGGGGCTATGAGAAGAGCATTATCAGGCACTGTTAGCTCATGAGAAGTGGCTGGGAGCACTGGGGGAAGCTGTGTGGATGCGTGCTACTGACTTTAATAGGAGAGGAATTGGGGCTTTTTGTTATGAGCATTTCTTTAAAGGGAAACTTACAACTTATTAAAAAAGCGGATATGAAAGGCACAAACTTGTGCTGTTCTTGCCAAGGGCTGCACACATTATGTCACTGAGCTTATTTAAATCTGGTTTCCATTATGGAGCTTTTCTGTTTCCCCACTGCCTCTGGGGATTTGGAAGCACTAAGGTGGGGCTGGGCTGCAAACCCTGCAGAGAAAGCTCAAATCCATCTAAAAAGATGTAATTTAGGCTAATATCAGCTCTTAATACATATTCATGCATTATGCTGCTCAGTGATACAAGGAGTCCTTCAAAACATTTAATTTTGCAGTAGTTTTAATGAAATTCTGCATGCATTATTATTGTTTTAGGAGTCAACTCCAGTTGGAAGCAGTGGGTTATACCCAAACTGTAGCTGTGCCAACACCGCAGATACTTTCCTGTCCCCAGATTTCTTCTTGCCCATGAGAGGAGACGGATTTCTGTCTTGTCTATGGGGTGACTTTTTAGTCCCTCCAGTTTAACCCTCAGAGGGGTAATTGTAGGAATCCACAGCACAGCGCACACCCACGATTGGGCTCAGGTGGCTGGGGCACAAAATGGGCTTTGAGCATGAATTTAGAAAGCTTGGAAACTGAGGGAGAACCTTTGCTGTTAAAGGGGTTGAGCCTCAGTTGATGTGTAGTACCGCCAGATTCATGGGATTTTTACTCTGAGCGCTGAAAATGTGCAAACTGCAGCAAAATATAACATCTTGGAAGGGGAAATAAAAGGAATTGGAATGCAGTCAGGGCACGGGGCAAACTCCTCGTGCTTTCTTTGTGAGCACTGTGGTGCCATCTAAAATAGGAAGCTGGGGGAAGCGCTGCCAAGTCACGCAGGCTGCAAATAACTGAAATCATTTTATTATATATGGTCAAAGGGCTGCATAATTGGGTGACTGATGGGTCGGTAAACGGGTTCTCCCAAAAAGGAGGCAGGCACTTTGGGTTATGTATGGAAAAGTTAATACAATCTCCGCAGCTGGCTTCAGCTCAGTGAATTAATAGTGATATTAATTGCAGAGGAGGCGGCACTGCTCCTCAGGGATGGCAGACGAGGCTGAGTGAAGCAGTGAGACACGATTCTGGGCAGAGAACATCCCTCAAAAAGCTCCCTCGGATGGCTGCTGAGCGAGAGGACTACAACTCCCAGCATGCCCCGGGACCACCAGCTCCAGGGACTACAAGTCCCAGCGTGCACCGCGCGCAGCGGCCCGCCCCGTCCGCCTCTCCTCCGCGCAGGCGCAGAGCGGGCGCAGCGAGGGGGCGGTGGCGGCCATGGCGCTGAACAGGAACCACTCGGAGGGCGGCGGCGTCATCGTTAACAACAGCGAGAGGTGAGGCGGCGAGGGGCCGCACTCCTCTTCTCTCTCCTTCTCCAAGCCCCTTTCCGTCGAAGAATGCCGAGGAGCGGCCTTCTCCTGGCTCCCCTCGGCGGGTCACGTGATCTGAGGGGCTCCTCGCCCCCGCCCCCCCCCCGCCGCGGCCGGTGTCCGCCCTTGGTGTGCCGGCGCGGTTGGCTCAGTGCCGTCCCCACAGGCCCTGCTTGGCTCTCCCTCCTCGCTCCCAGGTGGGGCCCAGGTCCCAGCCAGGTGCCTCACTGGATTCTGTGCCAGGAACGTCTGGCCTTGAGCCCCGTTTGGGTCACGGGGTGGCAAGAGCTCAGCCCTGCTGTGTGTTGAGCAAATGGCGATGCTGGAAAAAGGTGCTGGGCCACAGCCGTGGGAACAGCGAGCACACAGTGCTGCCTCTGCCTGCCTGCCTGCCTG